ATTCCCCAGCTCTCATTTTGTACAAACAGCAAAGAAATAGAAGGCATGTTTTTTTATCTTCATCTGCTTTATGATTTTCCAGAGCTCTTCTTTAACAAAATGCCTTTTTATATGCGTAAGTAATATGCTAAACATACTATATGTGAGACATTTATAGGAGTGACCAGTATGCTTTCTTTGTATCTCCACAATAGTAGTAACCAAAAAAGATAAACTTTGACCTTTCATTTATTTTATTAGTAAAGTATGGAAATCAGCAATGAGAACTTGGGGTTTAAATAAACATAAAAATTAGAGCAATTATAGAAATAATTCTTTAAAATATCTGTTTTGCATTTGTCAAAGACATGCTAGAAAATGCATTTCTAACACTACTATAAATGTGTTATTTTACTTTAATGTAGGTTTTAATTTCTTTTGAAACTCTCTTAAATACTGTTTTTTTAAAATAATGTAATGTAGATGCCATTTTAAAAGGAGGATTCTTTGCAACAGAATCTCTAATATTATATTTTAAATTGCAGAAATAGCATCTCTAGTGTTCACCATTTCTACAACATAGCAATGTATTTATTGTTCACTTTAAAGAAAAGTTTTCCTTTTTTAATAAAACAAAAGTAAATTTTATTGATATAGACAGGAATTGATGGCATACTCTCTTACTTGTAATAGGTAGCACACATTTGCACTATAATTTTAAATAAGTTTATTTTGTATTGCTAGTACATATGAATAGAGTGATGTTCATATACCCGGCTACCACAGTTTATCTTATAGTCCATATAAAACTAGCTCCTCAAGAACACTCTTAAAATGACCAGCTGAAAGAAAAATGCTGGTTTTCTTTTTTTTCTTTTTTTTTTTTAAATGTTACATTTCCGTTTAAGAAAATGGACACACTTAGTGGAGAAATGTAATCAAGTTTGCAAAAAGACTATGAAATAATGTTGATCATTTCTTGAGGAATTGAATGAAAACATATCAACCCACATTCTCTCACCCAATGCAATGATAATCATGCCATTCAATTACATAAAAAATTAAGAATGTTTACCTTAATGCAAATATTGAAAGAAATATCTGCCAAAAGCCTTAGAAAGACAGAAGTTTTATCAGCCATCATATCTAAATCATATGATTTCAACTTATTTGTTACCTGTATAAAGAAGTGCATCATCTTGTACTGAGAGTTTTTTCAATCATGATACATATAAAAATCATTTCTGCCCAAAGTCATAGAACCCCATTTTTAAAGAAAAAAAATCTAGGCTCCCATTAATATTATCTCTGAGTATTCCCAGACTTAAAAGCATTCCCAAGACTCCGTCATCTTTCTTTAAATGGTACTTGGTACATGAATACCCCCTAGTTTCAGCAAATTATATTCTACTGTCCATGAGTTTCTAATCCTTCTTGAAAAAGTTACATAATTGTGGAATATATATATACACACAAACATATGCATATATATATGTGTATATATATATACACACAAACATGCATATATATATGTGTGTATATATATACACACACACACACATATCCTTAAATTCTAACTGAAATTATTATTTAGATTGCCATATATTTTGTCTCTGTTTAAATGGCTTTCGTCAATTTCAATGAAAAAAATTCAGCTAAAAATCAGCCACATCATGAATTGAACTTTTGGTACAAATAATATTTATGACAAATAAATTATTTAAAACTTTTAAAATATCACAACTACATCAGATATTTAATTTTTTAAAATATTATATTTTCAGCAGAATGCATGCAAGACCCATACCTACATTATACAATGACAGAAAGTCTAACTTTGATATGGATTTTTGGTAAGAGTAGACAAAGATTTGCTCCATTATATAACCAAACTGTTTTACTTTCTTGTTGCCCCCAAATTACTTAATTATTACCATTAGGAAAATAAGTATTATGTTTCAATTTGGAATTAGTGATAGCTCATCTTGGCTGTTGCATAAACTGGAGATCATAAGAACTATATTTCAGGCTCGCATAATTGTCTACATTAAGGGTGTGTTCTTTAAGATTAGATGGTTCTGTTTTGGGAATTTACTCAAAATCAATTTAATATACTGACATCAAAAGTGATGAACTGATATTATGTTAATGGTGTTATTAGGCTAATGGAAAGTTCAAATTAACTTTCAGATTTCTAACATATTCTACATTTTATTTTATTAATCTTCCAGCTCATCTTGCATATAATTAATACAAGCATATAATTAATACTATTTTTTAGTTTTATTTTCAGTCTAATATGCAAATCGTATAAATATAATGTTATTCATTTTCATATTTCTTGATTAGAACTATCTGATAATTTGACCAGATGAAATAACTAATATTCTCTATTATAAAATGAAGTTCAAAGCTACTCAGCAACAACTCTCAATCATGTGGTATTTTCTGTGAAATTAGTATTTTAGGATTTTCCCTGTGTATTAGCAGTCTTCAATTATGACAAAAATACCTTAAGGCATAATTATCATGTTTACTCTGAAACATGAATGAGATTTACTAAAATATCCTGTCAAAGGGAGAAAAAAATAAAGACTGTATGAAATTGTGACATTAGACTATTTTGTGGGCTAACAGAATAAGAATTTCCTATAATGTATCATTTAAGGTCTCTCCACAATCCACTCACAATATATTGGAATTAGTTCTGCTTTCCAACATATAGATATTGAATTTTTTAGAAGTATGTGAAAAACTACTGATATCCATCTTTTTAGATGTTATTTCTATAATTAACATTTGTAAAGAGTCATGAAAATAAATGTCACAAACCAAGCCTAAATTTTCACATATTCCTAAGACAGTGGAGAAATGAGACAACAAAATCTTATTTTTCTCACATGAAGTCAGCTGGCTTCCTTTTTGTACATCTTTTCGTGTCTAAACTTGTTAATTCAGTTGTACATACACATGAGGTAATTAAGTGATTGTCCCTTTGTCCTTGTAACCAAAAGGTGGCACCTCTAAAAACCAGAGTTAGCTTTCAACACAGACAGTATTTTTTTTAAGTCATTTAAATGTCAAAGCCCTAGAAAGAGAATCCTTTTTCCTGACTTGGTAATTCTGCTTAGGTCGGAGGGATCATTCCCTCAAATGCAAAATGGTTTGGAAATAGTACACATTACACTGATGGCAAATGAATCCAGCTCTTCTCTAAGTTGGTGTGTAAACTTATACATTAAAGATACATAGTGAAAAAATACTCTCTGAGATACAAATTAGTGTAGAAGGTCAGGCAGAGTTAGGATAGAAGATTCCCTTTTCTTATATCAAGTGGACTTCTAGAAAAAAAAGTAAGACTCTGCATTTCCCCTTATACATAAAAATAAGTGTTTTGTATACTAACATCTGCTGATTTTTCTGTGTTCAGGTAAGACCCACTTGGAATGCTTTCCTATTACATCAAACGAGGCACTTCTGTATACCTCCTTCCATCTGACAGTACTATCGCTTCGCTGTCCCTGATGAATACTAAGAAAATAAAGCTTATATCCCCAGTGATGGAATTAGAGACTGCTGAAGCTGCTGTAAAGGCTCTGTCCAACAAGTACCATTTACTTGACCTATTATGCAGGCAGCCAGGGGCATGTTGCTGTTTTGATATATTTTTCTTTCTTTTAACAAGACGTTACAAAAATGTTTTCCCCTTCAGGATTTTTAAAATTTAGGCTATCTTTCTAGCATTACTTTCTAAACTTTGTTCCAGTACAGGAGGATTCTTGCCCAGCTGAGCCTCCATGTGCCTTCTAAAGGGAGTGCTGAAATTGTACAAACATCATGTTTACATCCATTAAATATTCTCCTATTAAAAGAAAATAAAGCCAGGCATAAGTTTGGTATCCAGACAATAAAATTCAAATAGATAGTAGAAAGGTAGAATAAAGTGAAAATCCATCCACAAATGTAGCTTCCACACAAAAGTTAAACAGTTGCTTTATTTCACCAAAGGGTTAATACTGGAGAAAGTGAATATCAACATGTACACAAAGCTAACTAGAAGATTAGCTTTCTCAAAGTAGAAATCCAAGCCTCCCTATAAAACTGTTGTCCCTTGCAAATGTTTTGAAACTTTACATTTTTTGATCCCCCAACAACAGACCATACCAAGAAACCTCAGGAAAGTAATAATCGATTTTTAATTGTGTTTTTTTTCTTACTCAAGAAACCTTTCAAAGTTCAGATATTAACACTGATGTGCAATACCAAATTGTCAGTCCCACAGGACAGATGGAAACAGGAAAAGTCAGATGGTTGGCACTCAAAAGCAACAGCAATTAAGCAGTTGAAAGTGGGTTGGATTGTCGGTTTATTTTTGTTCCATTTGAACGAATCAAGTGAGAGACATAGTCTCTTGCAAGGAGGAAATCAAGTCAAACTTGACGCTTCCCCTCTCTGACAGCCCAAGCTGGACGGCTTGTCTACTCCCCTTATTCAGTTTAATTGCTTTCTGTGCTCTGATTTTCGCAGAGATTGTGTTCTATCTTGTTTACGCCCCAACCCACCCACCCCCATATCCCTCTCCCCAACAGAAAGAAATCTTTCTCCTTTCTTCACTCCCCCTCTTTCCTCTAAGAAAGACAATCCTCTCCAGGAGGAGAAAGAAACCCTGTGCGTGCTTAGGGTGGGAGGAGGGCGAGAGGGGAGGTGTGGGAGAGAAAGAGAGAAAAGATTGAGATTGGGGGCGGGGGACGGAGGAGAGAGAAGAGAAGGAAAGAGGAAGCAAGAAGATGGGGGATGCCCAATATCAACTCCAAGCTCTAAATCACGGGCGCTGTGCAAAGTGCTTTTCAGGAGATGCACATGTGGTCTCATATTTCTCACAATAGGCCACCCGGGGATCCCTCCCTAGGTCTCAGACTCCCACCACTAAAATCCAAGTGTATCGAGAAGAAAATCTTTGGGATGGATTCGAGCAGATAGGCACCGCCGAGGTGGCCGCGCCGCCAGTCCCGCTTCCTTACCTGGAGGGCGGACCGGGAGGTGGTGCCGGGTCTCGGTCCCCAGTGCTCTCCCCGCGTGGACCGGCGCGAGGCACACGCGTGCTCTCGCTGCCTCCGCTCTTGGAGGGGCAGCCTGCAACACAAAAGGGGTGTGTGGGTGTGGGTGTGTGGGAGGTTTTCCAGGGCCACCAGCTGGTCCCAGCTGGTCGCCCCCACCCTACACACACCCCTTCGGGGCGCCGAGCCCCCCTCTCGGCTGAGCACCACCCTGGGGGCTTGCCCGGGGTGCAGCCTCAAGTTGCCGCTGCTAACTGCTGCTGCCGCTGCCGCTGCTGCAGGAGGAGGTGGAAAGACACTGGGGGCAGTACTCGGTCTAAAGCATCCCCACACTGCAGCTTCTCCAGGAATCCCTCCAGTGAGGAGGCGGCCGCCCATCATCTCCCAGCCCTAGCATCCTGATTGGCTCCACCTCGGCTACGCTGCGCCAAGAAGCCAATCCCAGCGCACTAATAATAGGTGGATCCGCTCAGCCAACATCTCCCATCCCAGTTCTGTTAGTGTCCCTCCATCCCCACAGCGGACAGGGACCTGGGAAGCGGGGTGGAGGCGGGTTGGGGGAGGGAGTGAAGTAAGAGGGGAACAGATGCCAAGGAGACACAATCAAGGGCATCTGATAAAACCTCTGGGTAGACTCAAGAATGCCCCAAAACCTGTTCAGCAAGCCATATGCACAGGAGAAAGAGAGCGAGCATAATACAAAGCTTTTTTTTTTTTTTTTTTTAACTTTCAATCAAAACCTGCCCTGATACTGAGCATGCCCAGACTGCAACAGCGACCTAGGAGTTTCGATGTGTGTGGGTTTGCCAGCTGTGGGTTTTTGAAAAGCTGGGACCCGGGATAGAAGAGGCAGAAGTTTGTCTTTGGCCATTTAACCCGGCGGAGTTATGAAAGCTGGGCAGGGTGGGGACATGAAAGGGTTCTGCACAAGTGTCTTCAAACTGAGCCGCGGGGAGGTGGCCCGCCGGGCTGCTGGAGGTTCATCATGCTCTTCTTCTGGGGTTCCGGGTTGGAAGCGGGGGCGGGATAAGCTGAGCTTTGCTGGAAGCCTGGAGACTTCCCGCGAAGGGTGTGGTGTTGCCGAGATGCAGGAGAAGCAGCTCCGTCCCATAGGTGGGGCCGGGAACGCGACTCCACCCATCAGCGGCGGCTGCCAGGCCGTGGAGAGTGCACTGGGAGTTTCCATTGCAGCGACCAATAAGTTTGTAGACTTGGGTCAAGTGCGGCATTGTTGGGGATGCTTTTTATTTTTATTTTTTGCCACCTCCTTCCCCCATCTCTCTCGACCCCTTACCAGAGCAGTGACGACTAAAGCACAGATCTCTCCCTGCTTCCTCTCTTCCCAGCTGAACCGTTCTGCTCGGAAGAAAGAAGCTTTTCCCTTGTGAGGGCGGTGGTGACCTGATTGTCTCTAAGCTCTCAGGCAATTTATAGCTTGGTAATACCGAGATACCAAACAGGAAGGCTCAGCGGGTGGGGGAAGGGACCGCGCGCCAGGCGAGGGGCGGGAGCGGAGCCCAGCTGGGAGAGGGGCCAGTCCATTATCTGCTCCACAGGTGAAAGGCTTTCAAAACGCAGAGAACTATTTCTCTTTCTCACTCCCTCAACCTCGTTTAAAGGCCTTTGAACCTCTTATTTGTTTTACTTAGAAATCCTAGCATTTTGTGTAAACTTGATCAATAGCTACAAATGAGAACTCACCTAATTGGGTTCTTTATTTTACTGAGAAGATTATCTTGGCATCTCAGGTAGGGAAATAAATAGCTATCTCAATTCCCCAAACCCATCCACTTTGAACTGGAGTTTTATTAACAATGGTGTGCAAAGGTAAATGTTGCAAGAATTCAATTAACAGTAACACATTTCTTCAAGTTTTTAATTAAATCTCTTCTACTTATGTAATGTTTAAGATTAAGATCCTTATTCTAAGTATATGGGAAAAGAAGGCAACGTGATATAAACATATCCTTCTAAGTGACAAATACTTTTGTTTGCACTATGCTTGAATAATAGGGAGTTTAACCTTAGAGGGAGAAGTGTGAAAATAATGCACTCCAGACTTGTGACTTTATGTAAATATTCACTTTCCATTTCCCAAAAGAGTCTCCAAACCTTATTTTTAAATAATTTCATAGTTGGAGAAAGAAGATAACAGAATTTGGTCTAAATTTTATTTCAGTTATTTAGTGAAGGAGAGGAGGAGAAGAAAAAGGAGAGGAGGAAAAACGACAGGAGAAAAAGGAGATGAAGAATCTGGAGGAGGAGGAAGGGGAGGAGAAAGAGAAGAAGGAGGAAGAGGAGACAAAGAAGAATTAAGTAACCCTGTAATTTTGTTGTCCAATAAATATCTTTGTATGAGAGGATTATTATAATATCCACTGAATATAAATCTTTATTCTAAATATATGCCTAGCATGCTTTCTAGATTCCAGTGATTAAAACTGACACATTTATCCTATTTACCAATAGCTGCATATAGAAAAAAAAAAATGCTTATTTTAGAAGAAATTAGGCAATAGAATACAAATACAGATTTTAAAATTTCTGTTCCAGATGCTGATTTTGTCATCAATATTTTAGTCAATTTCTTTTCCTGTTTACTTCACATCTTACCTAGCAATCTTTCTCTTTCAGTGGCCAGAATCCTTGGCAACATGAATGGTATCAGAGGTTTGTATCCCAAAACCTTGAGGGAGACTGCAGGCTAAAATAAGAAATAGGCTTTACATGTATATTATGCTTAACTTTAAAATTAATAGCATTTTCTGTACATTAATATTAAGAAGACTCTTTATACGGTGGCTGTAGCTATACTAAGATTTTAACTCTCCCTCCTATTCCTAAATTATCTCCAAGCTCTTGGAAATGTTTTGAAGATGTCCTCCTGCTTCTACTGGGCTGACAACATCATACTTTGCAGAGAGTGTGTATCATCTCTTTGCCTATTGAAGCAGACTCATTTTTATTAAAAGGAAGATCGGGTCAATTGTTCTGTCTCTCTCTTTGTCACTCTTATTATCCCATTTCTTAAGTACTTTTATATCTAGAATTCCTGTATCTTTTGCTATTGAGAATTAATTTATCTCCTGATTGGTATTTTAAAAATATTATTTTCAGAACTTTTAAAAAATCTATTTTCATGTTTTGTTTCCTCTTTGTTAAAAAAGTGTTATTAATTTTTCTTCGTATTTTGCTGTGATCAAGAGCTCATTTTCAATATTTTCTTTATTCCTTTTTTATTGGATTCATCTATTTACTACTTTCATGCTTCCTTTGCCATCTATTTTAGGCTATAAGATCAGAATAGAAACTAAATTGGATTGGGGCACTGAGGAGAAAAGTGTGTCTTATGGCAAGAGTGGGAATTAGGGACTTTAGAACTAGAAATTCATTAAGTGGAAACTTAGCCAAGGTTTCTGTAAACCACAGAAAGAATACTTAACGTGAGAGAGGTATCAAGAAAATTCTGCATGTTGTTGGAAAGGCCAGAATTCCCTGGTCAATCAATAATACTAAAGAGTTACATTTAATCGGGCCGGGCGTGGTGGCTCACACCTGTAACCCTAGCACTTTGGGAGGCCGAGGCAGGCGGATTACAAGGTCGGGAGATCGAGACCATCCTGGCTAACAAGGTGAAACCCGTCTCTACTAAAAATACAAAAAATTAGCCGGGTGTGGTGGCGGGCGCCTGTAGTCCCAGCTACTCGGGAGCCTGAGGCAGGAGAATGGTGTGAACCCAGGAGGCAGAGTTTGCAGTCAGCTGAGATCATGCCACTGCACTCCAGCCTCGGCGACAAGTATGAGACTCTGTGTCAAAATAAAAAAGAGTTACATTTAATCAAGACTCACACATCATTAAACTTTATATCTTTAGTAGCCACACTAGTTGTCTGGTGAAAACTATTTATAAATATCATTACCCAGGATTGTTTCTTTAAAAAAAAAAAATTGACTTCTCTAAATTTTTCTACTTTTTGTTTATTTTTTATATAGATGTATATCTTACTATTCTTTTCACTTTTTATCTGTTTCTCAAGATACTGACTTTTTGTTCTCTTTGCAGGACAGATAATTAATTAAATGTTTTCTGATGTCACAATTGGGGTAGAATTCCAGCTTCACCACTGATTGGCTGTGTCACCTTGAAATATGTACAAAACCCCTCCAAGCCTCAATTTTCTCATCTAAAATATGTACATAAGAACACAGCATTTATAATCAGGTAATTTTTTTGTATTAAAAAAAGCGGTGCACATAAAGTGCTAGTTCCAAGCACATAGCAAGAACTTAATGACTATTATTATCATTTTATCATTATTCTTGCTGCTACTTCTGCCACTATTATTTTTTTCCCAGATTTCTGAGTTATTGGGTTTCCTCCCATCAACTCATCCATTTAAGCCAATAGTCAGCCATAGACTCTTCACCTATGAGCATTAAAGGTAGAAGGGTGTTAATTCATGTTATAAGAACTTTTATTTATTTTTTGGTAGGAGGAGACAGGGTCTAATCCTGTAGCCCATGCTAGAGTACAGTGGCTCAATCATGGCTCACTGCATACACGAATTCCTAGGCTTGGGCGATTCTCCCAGCTTATCCTCTTTGGTAGCTGGGACTACAAGTGCATGCCACAATGTTGGGCTAATTTTTTGCCTTTTTTTTTTTTTTTTTTTTTTTTTTTTTGACCATTTTGCCCAGGCTAGTCTTGAACTCCTGGGCTCAAGTGATCCTCCCACCTTGGCCTCCCAAAGTGCTGAGATTACAGGTATGAGCCACCATGCCTGGATATAGAAAATGTTAATACATAAAATGACAACAGTCATCCGTCTTGCATGTAGTATTCTTACACTGTAATCATCTAGGATAGGAATAATTTAGTTTTGGGGGAATGTGTACTTAAGCTTTTTTTCATAAAAACATTTCTTTATATTATTCTTTAAAATTAAGAAATATCCAATTCTGGTGGTAAAAAAATGATGAACACTTTTTTTCTTTTGTTTTGTTTTCTAGAAAATGCCCTTAAAGACAGTAGAGCCATCATTTTTATTTCTCTTCCACTCATCTTTCTCAAGATCATTTGTCCTGGGATTACTGCTAGTGATTTTATTTTATAACCAATGGGTGAAGAAAAAATATGAAGACTCCCTATATCAAAATTGGATAAGAAATTAGCCATGTGGATTTTTATACTGAACATCCATGGTATTTAATAAAGAGAATCTAGAAATGGGAGAAGAAAAAAAATGAATACTGATGGGAGTAAAGTCTCTGGAGCAGACAGTTAGAGCCCCATAATCGAACGACGAAACTTCACAATTTCCAAAGAAAGGAAAATAAAGAGCTAGTAGTTTTCTATGTGGCTTTACAAAAGCCTTTTCTTAAAGATATGGCTAAGAAAAT